TCATGTTTTGGCAGTACCAGACTTCAAACATGACAATATTTTTGAAACTTGACAATAATTACTCCTATTTTGGGAATAAAAATATAACAGTCCTATTTTGGAATTTTCAAACTCTGTATCCTATTTCGGGAACTTTCCCTTCTATATTTGATAATAAATAAATAGGAAAAAATGAAAAAAAAATGTTACTCAGCAAGAAATTACTATGTTAAGAAAGTTGCGAAGGACTACAGTGATTGTACACTTTAGCTCTTTCCTATTCAAAATATATTTAAATTTTTACTTGTCAAGGATAACACTAATTCCAGACCTTAGCCCTTTTCTTCTTTCTAAGATAAACATATTTTCTTCTTTCTAGGATAAGATAAGAGCGGAAAAGGAATTGATTGGCTTTCCTTCGATTCAGAAAGCCGTGAAGAATATACTGAATTGATTTTAGGCTGCCCACCTGTTTGAACATCACATGAGTGAGGGTAGAGTTACATGGAATAGAGGAAAAACTCATGAGTGAGGGTAGAGTTACATGGAATAGAGTTACATGGAAGTGAGGGAGAACTTGGGAAAAGCTTGAGAGAATTCCAGTCAATGATAAATGGGTGAAAGAAATTCTGGAATTTTAGTGTTGATATTCTTAGTAGCAAATACTCCGTAACATGTTTTTGTTCTCTATTTTTTTTAACCCGGAAGGCAAACCACCAAAATCAGTGGGGCAAATGCCGGGAAACACTTGTCGAGTTTTATTGATGAGAAAAAGAACGAATACAAATGGAGAGGGGGATTAGACACCTCTCCGGAAGGCATATCTTCCACAATACATGAGACGAAAGTAAAAGAAATACGGAAAGTAGAAAAAACCATGGGGGATCAAACCTTGCCCATAGTTACAACAAAATAACTATGGGCCGAAACAAAGAATTAGTAACACCTAATATAAGAAAGTTGTAATTCATCCGCCAAGATGGACCTACGAACCAAAACAGGAAGCTCAATGGGCCGAAAGTAGGAAATAACGTCATCCCCATCAGGAAAGTAGCTTGCCATAAAGTGGGCAGCCCAATTAGCCTCACGATAAATATGTCTGAAAGATACCGGGCAGTCAACCGACCACCGCCTTAGATCTGCCAACAACGACCCCCACCTCCCGTTCCAGGTAGTATCATCGAGCAACTCCAAAATCACCTGAGAATCGGTTTCAGTCTCAAAGCCGCAGAAACCAAGCTGAAGCGATAAAATGACAAATTATGGTATTGTTTCAATTTAGATATACATCTAAGTCTTGTTTCAATTAAAGCTCATCAAGCAATAAAATGACAAATTATAGTATTTCATTATTTTTCATTGTCTCAAAACCATCTTTATAAATGTTCCACATCTTGTGGTCGCTTGAGCAGTTACTAAACTTTCATTAAGTCGTGTATGAAATGAGGGTTTTATAGAGTTAGATACGTGTATCGGTTCACATATACGGGTATTGGAAGTATCGGTTTTTTTTAAAATTAAGTCTGATACTTTTATTAAATTACGGATACGGACTCAATACGTACATGACGCGTATTGGTGAGTATCGGTATCCGATACGCCATTAGGGTGAAGTATTGGTGCACCATATAACAATGGAAACCAACAAATAGTTGGTAGCTCTAAAGTCTAAACCAACTCTTTTACAGTTTTACATTTGTATATATGTAAAAAAAATGTAAAATTTGATCAGTCTCTTTCCCATCGAAATTATTTTTATATTTTTCTTATCTGTAAGTCTATATATATTCAATTTTAATAAAGCAAACTATGGTTTGGCATCGAAGAATGGTTGGGCAAGAGCAAATATAGTAACCCAACCTGATTAATTAGTGTCCATAGTCAATCACTTTTATCCCTAAAGGCTACAGTAGCAATATGGCCTGAGTTAGGAGTACCCACCATAGCTGTTTTTACAATGCCGCGCCAATTAGATTATTGTTCGGCATATATATACTCCATATACAACTTCTAAAGTCATTAACTACTTGTGGAAGTAATCGACTACTTGACAACGTTGGGTATTTCTTCCTCTTCTTAACGGAAGTTTCAATTAACGGAAGCTACGGAGATAGGTGGGAGTAAACATTAACGTACAATACCTTGAGCAGAACTTACAATATAATAATGCTATAGAGTTACACCAACACATTTTTAATACCTAAAAGACTCTGACCCTCATTGGTCTTTATAAGATTTTAGAGATTAGGAAATACTCTTCTCATTTGTAGCATGAATTATGAGTGAAGGTCTCAATTGGAAACGGATCGGAAAAGAATAAAAAGATAAATGTCTTGTTTGGTACTCATCAACTGTTTGTATCCAAGGATTATGTTAATTATTTTGGACCTATATTTGATGTTTGGGTGTGCTTGATACAGTTGGTAGTTTGATAGGAAAAGTAAAAAATACGTGACTAAAAAACAGCTATTGAGTTTTTAATCCTTCGTAAGATAATTCAACATAAAATCTACAAACAAAAGAGTGATGGGGAGTATAAACAAATGATGTTTACTGACCAGATCTGACTATATATACCAGACCAGTTCAAATTTAAGCATTTCACTCAAACTAAAAACAAATTTAAACATTTCACACAAACTAAAAAGTCATTAATCTTATAATCATATGTGTATGTACATTATTTATATCCATACTCGATTCATTTCATAAATTCAGTTTGTGTGGTTTGTCAAAAGAATTGATAGAGAAATATGAGGAGATCGAGATCATGTAATAGTAAAAGTAATGATGATTATATACTTCGTATAATTTTATTAAAATTCATCCAAGGGAAAATATAACTATCTCAATAGCCCTTACATTTTAACAGCTTATTGGCTGAATATAAAGTTATGGCTAATGATGTTTTCTTTTGGCCTATAATTTGTTGTTCTGGTCTGATTTAGTATGGTAAATGTCTGGTCTCTGTGTATTTTATGTCTGTCCATGTCTGTTCTGATCTGGTCTGGTCTATTTAAGGCTGACCTGATCTGATTTGGTCTGACTTAAGATTGAAAACAGACGAAAAAAAAACAGTTGAATGGAATAAATATAAAAACTAAATGCAACTGAAATTTTGGGTCGAAAAGCTTAATAAAGAAACTATGTTTGCCAAACTTGCATTTGAACTTATCTATCTACCCTCGCCAGGGAAGAAACGAGCGGCTAGGGTTTGAATGCTTCTTTTAGTTATTTTTGCTTGTTTCATTTGCTACTTTTTCGTTAAGCACATCCCGTTTAATTTCCGTTGAATCTCTAGCATATTCAGCGATTAGTCTTGTTCATCGTTGGGCAGCCTATTCTATGTCTGATTAGAGAGTGAGGGAGCATATTGGCTCTAAGGAGTCTAAAGGGAAGGTCTGGGTGGTTGGAAGGCTGGATGTTTGGATGTTTGTTTCTATGAGTTTCATATAAGCAGTTGCTTTTCGAGTTGCTTGTATCCACCTTTATATTCACCCTTATACACACCCTTGTGAAGGTTTTTTTGTATGTGAATCTCGTTCACAAACAAAACATGTCTTATTTTACCTGTGCTAATAAGCATAGACAAAATTAACGTATTTTGTCTGTGAACGAGATTCTCAGATTAAAAATAAGTCTTTCACAGACATGATCGGTATAAAAATGGAATAAGGGTGAAAATATCATTTTTCTTTAGAAAGGAAAAGGGTAAAAATTGGCCAAATGTGCATCCCATGACTATAATCTGTCGTTAATAAGAGGTCAAGGCTTCACTCTGTTACTCTTCTCGTAATAAGAGATGTCTTTTTGCAATAAGAGATATCTATATGGAATTATGCCTTTGACCGTTCCGACACCCCACACATTGCTTTGAGCTAGGGGTGTCTTTACGCCCATGCATCCTTTTTAATGGGACCTAATCTTGCTATATTAGCTTTAGTTTAGCTTTTGTGTGTGTTTTGGTATAGAGGTTTGGTGTAAGGGAATCTGATGATACAGAGAAAGATCAAAACCAAAGCATGGACCACTCATATCTTTATTTAATACGGAGTATGTCAATGCTTTGCTGGTTTAATTATTTATTGATTTAAGTGAAAATGCTATAAAACTGCCTAATACAATTTCTGATTAGTTTTAAATCAAAGAAAAAGAAGTGTTAATGTAAAAATAAGAATGATTGTCTTGTTTCAGATTAGATTTGATGTCTCTAAAAGTGCCAACAATGCATCATATTGGATCAAATGTGCGGTGACATTTGTCGAAAATAAATGAACTATTTTGGAATCGTGTAAAACATGAAAAAGTGCAGTATTTAAAATTATATAAAAGTGCAGTTTAGCAAATTAAAGTTCAAAATTTGCACTTTTCACACTAAATACTCTTTTTATTGGAACCACACACATTATTTCTGTTAATGTATATTGTCTCAATAACGCTTCCTCTATCAACCACAAAAGTTTTGTGAAACCATATCTGACTCTTATGGAGTCACATAGGGTTTGTTGACATCATCTCCATCACACATCATTTTATTGGAGGTTTTCACTAAAATGATGTGTTGGAAAAATGTGTTGAACCAATATAATACTCCTTATCTATTTTTGTACAAACATAAAGATAATACTTTGTGCTTGAATTTTAAATTTTAGATACAGTTTCTCATTATAAGCGTATTAGAAATTTTTTAAATGTTGTAATATTATTTATAAAGTATTAAATAAATTATACGGAGTATAATTTTGAAAAATTTAAAGTTTTCCCGGGCCAGGCGGCCCAATGGACTACCCGGCCCGCTCTTATGGGCGGGTATGGACATAGGGTTAGGCTCGTTTTTGCGGGCCAGGCTGGGCCCGCTCACACATGATGGGCAGAAAACTTATGAAAAGCCCGGCCCGAGCCCAGCCCGAGCCCGCTTTTGTGCAGGTCTATAAAAGATTGAATGATGTTGATAGTGAGTTAGTGACACATATCTCATATTCTCATATGATTTTATAAGGGAGTCACTTGTGGTTCCTTGTTGCCACTTTGAGTCCTTGACTCGATAACACGTTAATCACCCTAATAGTAATAAACCTTCTACTCATGCATAACTGCATACGAGAGATTTAGTCCATCACATGTGATCTGTAACCTTCACACGATCGTTGCGAGTTTTGATCCTTTGTCAATGTTTCAACTTTCCTATTACTCAGCTAACTGAGAGTCTGAGTCTAATTGAGCTACTAGTGCGGGTGAGTCATCTGTGTTTCTTTAAAAGTTAAAACTACTCGATTGATGTGTGAAGAATTTGTACATTAGTTCTGTGGGGTGTGTGACTTGATTTGTAGCCATACGCTTTCACACGGTATTAATTTGATCCTATAATAAATAATTCGAAAAGATAGTGTTACTACGGATCATAATTGATCAAATAATGTAACATGAGATCAACTTTTCGGATTTTTGTTCAGCCGCAAAAGAAGCTAAGACGGCATAACCTTCTTGGCTTTATTTAATTTTTATTGAAATTTTAGATGCCTTTTCATACTTCAATATGAACTACTCTTGCAATCTCAATGTTATCTCCTATTTTGAATTTGTATAAAATTAAAAGCCCGTTTGATAACATTGAAATTGGTTAAATTGGCTGATTCTGCTAAAGTTTATGAAGTTTTGACTAAGATAACTGGATTAGCTGATTCCGTTGAATTATAAAAAATTGTATTTAAAAAATATTTTATTATTAAAATAAAGAAAAAAATTATATAAGAATAGTTAAAATGAGTCTTTATAGTCACTTAAGTCAACTCAATCAGAAAAGTAACTACAAACTTACTTATTTTTATCATTAGACAATTCGATGTGAAATAAAATGTAAATGCTGGATGATAAGCCAAATACAGAGGACACCAAAATATAGTTGAAGTTACTTTTCTATTGAATTTGTTGAAGCTATTGTAGAGGGTCATCAAATTTTCATTTTTTCATACTCCGTATAATTCTTTCTTTATTTCATTAATAAATAACATTTTAAATCTAATTTTTATATAATTCAGAACATTCAACCACTTTATCCATATATAACTTCATCAATTTTGGAAAATTCAGGCGCTTTAAATGTTTTTAAACGGAGTCCAAGAAAGTGAAAATGGTATGGTTGAAAATTTTGCAAAGGAAAAGAATTTATATGAACAATAAATTTTTATCATAAAAGGAAATTGGAACTTATTTTGGATGCATGAAAAAGAAATAAAAACTAATAAAAGTATTATTACTAAATGAATAAAATGAAATAAATAAATATATACTACGTATATTACTAAACGAATAAAATGGGCTCTTGTAGATAAAATATTATCTGTTAGTACTCTGTATTTAAGATAATTTGGAAATGCTAAAATTAGTTAAATCCAGGAAAAAGTTCTGAAATAGGAATAGAAAACTTTGAAGTTTTCAAAACGGGAGTACTATGTTTTCTCCCTAAATAAAAGTAATTGTTGTTATGCCTTGATATTAGGAAATATTTTTCAAAAGTGACAGTAATTAAGTCATTTAAACTTGTTGGGATATATTATCCCGGTCCGGAGCCCAAGACTTGACATAGTACGGAGCCCGTCCGGTAAGGTCCGTTTCGGCCCATTTTGGCTATCCGGCCCACCTTGGCCCAGTAGGCCCGTATTTGGCCCATTAGGGTGGAGAGCACCCTTCCCCATTCCCCTATAAATATGAGGCTTCCCTCCATGTTTTAGGGATCCTCTTTTAGCTTCCTTCTTCCTTTTTCCTCTAGAATAGCTTGCAAAGACTCCATTAATGGGAGCTCAAAATGTACTATGTAATGGTGAGAAGAGTCCTAATGAGAAAGAGAGGGCTTGGACATTGGCCTAAAAAGTCCCGTGGTTTTCTCCCTTTCCGGGTTTCCACGTAAAAATAGCTTGTTCATACACATTTATACATATATTTATTATATCGTGTTGGATTAAACTCAACATTGGCGCCGTCTGTGGGAATTCTAACATATTTTTACTCATATTAAGGGAGATTTCTTTTAAATCTACTATTTTTATTAGGGAAAATGGAAACTAATAATCCAACCTTTTATTAACAGTCTTCTTACAATAGTCTCACCTTTTCGTTATTCATAAATAATACAACCTTTGCACCTCATCTTCATTCACTGGTCACTGGCCGGTTGATGACCTGCTATTCCATGAAGGTTGGATTGTAAAAAGACTGCTAAAAGGTTGGATTATTTAATTAGTTTCCATTTTCCCTTTTTATTAAAATTGTTGTTAAAACGACCAAACATCAGGGGCGTCTTTAGCATTTCGGAGGCCCTAGACAAAAAAAAAAAAATACGTTGCAAAAGACGGGCTTAGGCAGGGCTTAGGCGTGAAAACACGTTTTGATTTGTTTTTTTATCATTTATTTTTATTTTCCTTGATCTATTTTTAATGTCTAAGTTTAATATTAAACAAAGTTATTCAAGAACATCATATTATCGGGTCCCGAATCTGGCAAATATATTTACCAGTTACACAAAAACTAGATCCGGAAAAAGTAACTGAATGATAATATTAATATTACTAGAAAGAAATAATAGGTAATGTATTACCAAAATAAGAATATTGAAAAACAATGGGTCAATGGGATTTAGTAACTTTTAGTGAGTATAATTTGGTTTAAACTTTACATTATATTATATACTCCGTACTATTGTGATATACCAAGTATAAAAGTAATAAAATTAGTAGGAGTAATAATTTGTAAGGAGTAGTGACATACGGAGTAGCTTATAATTATTCAATGTAATGTAATAGTACTACATAATACGGAGTGTTAGTGCTTCGGTATATGCCAGCTTCGAAGTCGAAGGCCCTCTTTCAAAAAAAAAAGTCGAAGGCCAGGATAAACTTTTCGCCTTTTAAGTAACGCAGTCTAGCATCTTTCCCACACCGGTGAAAAAAGCAAAGTATGTCTTCATCCACCCTTATAAATAACCCCACATACCCTATTGTCTTTAAGAATCAGCTTCTAGCTTTAAGAACGCCATGGAGGGAGTCAAAGTCACATGGCTGATAATACAATCAAAGAAAAGAACTAAACAAAACGATAAAAGGACTTATGTATGTCGTCCGCCCTCAAACCAAACTTAGAATATATCACCTCTGTAGAAGCAATAATATTCGCCGATCCTGTAATGGGCTTAACTGAGCCAATGACTAGCAAACCACACTCCTCATTACATTACTTAAAATCTGGAATCTCTCTGTTAGGAAATAAGAAAACGTCCACAACAACATGGAATCTGAAAGAAAAACACAAACAGAATAAAACGGAATTAAAACAGAGTTCACCCATCTTCTTCCAAACCCTAACCTTGCTTGCACTCCATGGCTGCGGCTCGGGGGGGGGGGGGGGGGGGGGGGGGACGCGCCCGCCGCTTATCCGCCTCAATAGTCATGCTTTTGTAGGGGGGGGAGGGACGCGCCTGCCGCTTATCCGCCTCAATAGTCATGCTTTTGTATTGAATGACGATATCCTCTTTTGACATCCCTTGTTGATGAATCGAAACCATACTCCGGCTTGAAACCATACTTACACAAATTGCAATTTCGGCTTCTTCAACAACCATGATAGGACTGCAAACGAGCTCGAAACACTGCTGCTTCCAAGCCGGGGAAAACAGAAAGAAATGAACACCGGTGCCGTGATCAAATTGATCACCACCGGACAATCCAAGCTAGGCGTTGCCTTGCGGCAACCCTAGAGAGAGCAAAGAAAACGTCCGAAGACGGCTGCAAAAGAAACGTCCGAAGACGGAAACCCTAGAGAGAAGTTTCAATTTTTTTGACTAAACATGCAGAGTTGTGAAAAATAATATTAAAGTATTTATCAACCAGTTTCACAAAGTTTTGTCAACTTTTTTGATTTTATCGTCCAAACAAATTTTCTTATATATTCCATTTAAAATAAGAGATGCAAAGTATGCACTTAAACAACAAAATTACTTCTCAGTCTTCTACACAAATATCTATCACCGGGGGTGAAGTCATATGGAGACAAAATTTAGTCACAGGGGAGACAAGAAGGAACATAAACAATAAAGAGAAAATTTTCCAAATGGGATTAAAATAAAATTCATAAAAAGAAGCATCATTTTTGTATTTTCAAAATAGGACTTATTCACTCCTATTTTGTCAAAATTTAATCCAATTATTTTTTAATAGAACTACATAAGGTCTGTTTGAGGAATAAAACAATTTTTGTCCTATTTTTTTTAATCATGTGTATGTCATTATTTCACGAGGAATGGTCATGGCAGACCAATTATACGGGATCCGCCGTCTAACCCCCTGTGTTTGAGGTTCTTTCGGATGGAATTTTTTGATGAAGTTTTGTGAGCATGTTCTTCATGATGTGGATATTAGTTTACACCAAATTTCAGTTTAAAATTCAATCAGGTGCCAATTATTAAATGACTCTCCAGTTGATTTTTAAATCGAAATTTGATGTACATAATCTACACTTAATGAAAAACATTTTCACAAAATTTCATCACAAAAATCCATTCGTAAGCATTTCAAATGGAGGCTTCTGCCCGGTAGTTCTGACCTAATTCAATCTTCTCTGATTAATTATTTCATAAATAATAGTAGTAATGTCAAAAAAAAGTGGGGGGGGCGCTTGGTAGTTGGTACTACGCCTGTCTCTGTCTATTACACAACAAAAATGCTTGGTGGACACACCATGTACACAAGTTGTACATGATATAAAAGCCAAAAAAATCTCATTTCCCCCTCCCTCTCTTCTCTCGGTTCTCTCTCCCTTCTCTCTTCCCCTCTCTCTTCATCCCCCTCTTTCCTTCTTCATCCTCTTTTCTCTACCTTTTTTTATCAATTTTTTTCATTATTTGCACAAATTAAGCTTATTCATCTTATTTCATCTATTTTTATTATTTTTCTAATTTTTTTCAAATTACATGTAAATTGATTACACATACAACTATATTATTCATTTGGATGTATATAGATAATTAATTTTTTTGTTCACTCATACAATTGAAGTTGATCACACAGACAACTATTGTCTATGAGCCGCATAACTATTGTTTATGTGGTGAGTATTGTTTGTGCATACAGACAAATAATTGTTTGTGCAACTTGAAAATATTGTCTATGCACACAGGCACTGCACATATATTGATTGATTTGCAAGTTGATGTCAGTGTCAGACGGCTCTCAGTGTATTTTTT